AAAGAAAGAAAGAAATCCAAAATCTCTGTGAATGTTCATTAAAATTATTAAATTTTTAAAAAATTTTAAAAAACCAACCAAACAACAAAACAACTGTGGTTAAAAGCATACAACAAAAATTCACCAATTCAACAATTTCTACAAGTATAATTTAATAATACTGATTACATTCTTAACATTATACAACCACACAACCACTATCGCTACCCTTTTCTGAACTATCGTACATAACAAACTCAATTATCACCTAACATTTGCCTGTCCTTCAGGCATGAGACAGAGGCTGCAGCCTGAATGAAAGTACTTCTGTCTAATCCCAATCATAATGGTTAGCAAGTAGCCTCTGTCATATGGAGGACCAGCTGTTCATGCCTACCTCCCATTGCCCTCCCCACACATAGACAATAATACCTGTTTGATCAACATGTTCTAGTTGCAGGGTTGAAGGGGCCTGTTTCTGATGTTTCCTCTTTCTCTTCTTATCTTCAACAGAATCACTACCAAGAAGAGCCTGTTTGCAGCTTTTTTCCTTCCTTTCCCCTTCCTTGTCCTCAGAGTCACTCCCAAACAGAGCCCGTTTTCTACGTTTCTTATTTTTTTTCTCCTCTACTTCAGCAGATGCACTGGCAAACAAAATCTTTTTGGGCTGCTTCTTTCTCCTTTCTAGTTCCTCCTCTTCAGAGTCACTGTCAGGTATGCTGGGAGTTTGCTGGGGAAGAGATGCAGCCTCCAGGGCCCGTAAGGTAGCCAAGAGCTGGTGGTGCTTGGAACCCTGGGAGGAGACAAGGAATAAGAGATGGTTAAGGAGGCTGGCTGAGTTCTAGAGATAGGAAGGGAGAGGCAGGGGCCTGATTCAGATGCTGATAGAGATATCCAAAAGTTTCAGTTGTCTTAGCTACCTTGGAAAGCCTGCCAGACTCACTTCCCCATCCCAACCACTGAGAAGTGCAGAGCAGGGATACCACTCATTTTCTTTTTTTCAATATGCAGATGAGGCAATCTGGCATTCCCCAGAGGACTATGTTAATGCCATAAACCAGGGTTTAAGACTAGAGATAAGGAGCTCCAACTCTCAGTTTTTCTGAAGTAGTAGAAACAGATGTATACTTTGTTGTTGTGTACCATCAGGTCAGATCTGACTGGCACAGGAGATTGCCCTTTCTTCTCCAGTGGAGCATCTAGTGGATTCAAATTACATGCCTTCAGGATTGCATTGCAGCTTTTTGCCACTAGAGCTCCCCAAATGTAAACTTTTATAAAAATTGGTTTTTATTTTGTTACTCATACATGTTTCATTTCCTAATAAAATTTTTTACGTGAAAATCTATATATCATCCTGATTTTTTATTCATTCATACATTTTTTGTTTTAGAACATTAATTACAACTGATTACTAAAATTAATTAATCAATCCAATTCTCAATTTTACAGTCCCCAACTGGTATCATTCTATAATAGGTAGTGATTACTGGTTTCTGAGTGAAGGAGTGACAAGATCAGATGTGTGCACTAATGATGCTTCTAGCTTCACCGTCCATAATAAACTAAAGTGGAAATGCTCCAGGAAGGTTGTTTTTTTGTTTTGTTTTTTTAAAAAAAATTTAAAAAAAAATATTTTTATTTTATTATATTTTGTGTGTGTACCATCAAATCAGATCTGACTGGTACAGGAGGAAATTGTCCCTCCTTCTCCAGCAGAGCATCTGGTGCATTCGAACTGTGTGCCTCTGGGATTACAGTGCCAAGAAGCCACCAGAGCCCTCCAGGAAGGTTATTACAAGTGTCAGGTCAGAGATCAGTGATGGTTAATGGTCATGAGCTGAGGGGATGAGGAGAGAAAAACAGGTATCAATTGGGTAGACTGTGTACTAGAGGCACTGACGGCCACAGGCAGGAAAAGCATGAAGTATATAGCAGCCCAAGTATCTGCATAGGTTCAAAGGTTATGATTCTGAGTTGAAGTCCTTCTGGGTGATCGTAGGCCAGGCACTTAAGTTGGAAGTCCTCAGTTTCCACTCACATCCCTCTGAATGGTAAGATTCATCACTGTCACTTGCTTACTCCACTCCATTCTCCACACTGTAATCTGTTGTTGTTGTTGTTATGTGCCATCGATTCGCTTGCGACTCATAGTGACCCTAGGTACAACAGCCCTAAACCCTGCTCTATCCTGTGCCAATCTCAGTGCCTCTGACACACCCATACCGATTACCCCAGTCACTGAATCAATCCACCTCATAGAGGGTCTTCCCCTCCTGCGCTGTCCCTCTACTCTACCCAGCATGATGTCCCTCTCCAAGGACCTGTCTCTCCTTACGACATGTCCAAAGTATGTCAGATGAAGCCCCAGAATCCTTGCCTCCAAGGAACAGCCTGGTTTAACCCTCTCTAGGATGAATTTGTTTCTTTTCTTGGCAGTCCATGGTACAGTCAATACTCTTCTCCAGCACCACAGCTCAAAAGGCATCAATTCTCCTTCTATCCTCCCTAGTCATTGTCCAACTCTCTGATGCATAACAAGTGATTGCAAAGACCATGGCCTGTATCAGGCACACCTCAGTCTCCAGAGAGACACCGTTGCTCTTGAGTACTTTAGAGAGGTCTCTAACAGCAGACTTTCCCACTGAAATACGTTTTTTGATTTCCTGGCTACTGGTGCCAAGAGTGTTGACCATGGAGCCGAGCAAACTGAAGCTGTGAACAATCTCAATCTCTTCGCCATCCATCCTGATGCTATCGATTGGTCCAGTGGTGAGAATCTTTGTCTTCTTGATATTGAGCCTCAGTCCATATTGAAGGCTGCAGTCCTTGACCCTCTGCAGTAAGTGCATGAGGTCCTCCTCAGTTTCAGCGAGCAGGGTTGTGTCATCTGCATAACCCAGACTGTTGATAGATCTTCCACCAATCCTAAGGCCTATGATCGTCTCAAAATGCAAATGTGAAATCACTCATTTGGCTCCTTTTAAAAGTATACAAAACTTTTAACCCTTCACCTTCAGTAACTTGTATCTCCTCTTGTTTTTCTGTGCTTTAACCAGATGGGTCATTTTTCAGAGACCTTAATGGAGAAGAACTTTAAATATTCCATGGACTGCAAAAAAAAACCAAAAAAACCCAAAAAAAACCCCACAAAAACCCAAAACAAACCAACCCTAAAAAAACCCCAAATCCTTCTTGGAAGAAGTGCACCCAGAATGCTCCTTGGAAGATCAAACACTTCGGGTAACATTATCAAGAGGGGCCAGCTCCAAAGGAAATCATGCTTGCTAAAGAGTCTCTCACTCTCTCCATACCTATTTGATCTGTACGTTAAGCAAACTATTCACAAAGGTGGACTCCATGAAGAGGAATCAGGAAAGGGAGACTCATCAATAAACTGCGTTTTGCTGATGACACAACCTCACTTGCTGAAAATGAGGAGGACTTGAAGCACTTATTGTAGAAGATCAAAGAATACAGATTTCAATATAGATTGTGTCTCAATGTCAAGAGATTCTTAGCACTGGACTAATGGAAAACATCACGATAGATGGAGAAAAGATTCCAACTGTCAACAACTTCATCTTAACTTGGATCAACAATTAACACGCTTAGTACTAGCAGTCAGGAAATCAGGAGACATACTGCATAGGGAAAGTGTGCAGTCAGGGACCTCTCTAAATTGCTGAGGAGTAATGATGTCAGTTTGAGGACTAAAGTGTCTCTGATTCAGGCCATAGTCTTTCCAATCACTTGCTATGCATCTGAGAGCTGGATAATAAATAAGGATGACAGAAGAACTGATACCTTTAAGCTGTGGTGTTGAAGAAGTGTACTGAACCTCCCATCGACTGTCAAAAGAACAAGTATGTCTTGGAGAGGGTGCAGCCAGAGTGCTCTTTGGAGGCAAAGATGATGAGACTTTGCCTCACATACTTTGGGAATGTTGCTAGGAGGGGCTATTTCTTAGAGAAAGTCATGATGCTTGGTAGATGGCTGATGAAGGGGGAAGAACCACAACCAGGTAGTTTTGACAGAATGACTGAAGCAATGGGTGTCATGGAAGGTGTCAGGAAGTGTGAGGATGTCACATGATAGGGGCGGGTTCAGATCTATTGTTCAGAGGGTCGCAGTGGGTCATACTTGACTGACAGCACCTAAAAACAACAACAGAGGGTCTTTGGTGGGTCTAGTGGATAAGGAGTTTAACTGCCAACCCAAAAACATTTGGTTTGAATCTACCAGTTGCTCCAGTAAAGAAAGATGGGCAACCTCCTCCCATGCGCCTCAGAAAATCCGCTGTCCGACCAACTTAATGGCAAAGAAGGGTTGCAAAACAGAAGGTTCTCCAGAAGATGGAATGACAGTAGCTACAAGGAGCTGAAGCACAAGGAGCAACTGTTGAGAAGTGCTTCAATCTGTTATATAAAAGGTCGCTATAAATCGGGAACCACGCGATGACACGTAGCAACTGGTCATGTCTCTTGCCCCAAGACCCTTGCATATGCTTTCTGTCCCATCCAAAGAACCCTTTTATCAACTTTTACTCAAACAGCTCTCAGCTCAAACACCATTTTCTCTTGAAAGTTTTCAGGACTTCAATGAGTACTGGTCCCCAGTGGTGCCCCAAGGAACTCAGCTACCCACCCACTACGCACCTGGAGTACCCAGTCCCTAGGATTTCGCCTAAGACACTGTTTCGCTGCCCGACACATCTTCCAGAGCCCCGGGGCGGGGGGCACTCACCTTGCTTTGCAAAGCTGCCGCGGGCCGAGGGCGTGATGCTGCGGGTTCGGGGGCGGCGGCTACTGGGGCCTCCTCGGCCCACTCGGGCTCCTCGAACATGAGGAGAGCAGGGCCGCAGGGCCCAGAGCCGCTCCACGTGCGAGCCTACCTCCGAGACGCGGGAGGAGGAAACCAGTGAGTAAAGGCAAGAAACAGCTAGAACAGCCGGCGCGGCGCCGCAAACCATCGAGTTTCGACACTGGAGAGCTAGAAAGGCAAGGGAAGGGCTGGAGGGAAGGGCTGGAAGGGAGGGCGGGGAGGCCCGCGCCGGCCCGCTAAGGCTATGGGCGGGGCGCGGCCGTGTGGCGGGCGCGGCCGGACGGGAGTTCCCCGGAGAAGGCTCCTGGAGCCCAAGTCCCGGTGAGTGCGAGGGCCCCCGCGCCCCTCCCCAAGAAGCGGACCCGGCCAGCCCGTCACTAACGCCGCCTGAACTCCGAGAAGGGGCCGCACCGGGGATCCCTTCCTGTAGGGTGTACGATACTCAGACCTCCTCACTCTTGCCCCACCCCCAGCTCTTTTCCTACCCGGTACCGCTCCCCGACCCGCCTTTCCTTCACGTCCAGGGGTCACTAGTACGGTTCAGTTATAACGTTGCCGCCAATTCTTTTTCTCTGCAGATGCAGCGCCCCGACGCCTGCCCTCACAAAAATACTTGTTTCTTATAGGGGATAATTGGGGCCACCCCCCGCCCCTGGGTCACTACACGGTCTTCAGGCTGACCCAGTTCGGGGGACTCTGCTCCGGGACGCTGCCATGGACGACATTTTCACCCAGTGCCGGGAAGGCAACGCGGTTGCGGTGCGCCTGTGGCTGGACAACACCGAGAACGACCTCAACCAGGGGTGAGCTGGGGAGACTGGTGGGAGAGAAGGGCCGGATTCCTGACCTCTCCCCGACGTGGGGTGCTCACTTCTGGCAGGGGTGGCCGGCTTTGCCATCCCGTATGATGAGTGTTAAGCACAGCCTGTGGAGGGCGGAGTGTCTCCGCAAAATCAGCGGGGTGTCAGAGATAAATCTTGACAGCTGTTGAATTTCACAGACAGGAGTTTGTTGCAGAGAGAGCTTTCAGCTTCAGGGAACTGCATGAGCAAAGGCTGTAGGGCAAGACACAAACCTGACAATGTCAAGAAATTGGAGTTCCATAAGGGGGGACAGAATATTGGTTTTGTAGGCTTCACTCCTGAGTAAAAGAGGGGAATGACGAGAGATAAGTAAGACTGGAGAGTTCTACAAGGGGCCAGCGAGCCCATGCAAGGATATTTCAGCCATTAATGTCTTTATTCTGAGAGCAAGCGCTTAAAGCTGTGTAGTAATACAAGACTATTTAAGCGTCCTCTTTGATGCTTTATAAAGAGCTGGCAACGGTGAATTACAGGAAGCTGTTCCAGCTATGATGATGGATTTTTCAAATGGGGACAGTTTAAAGTGGTCAGATTCCGAAAATGTCTATTGGTAAAGATGTGATAGGACTTGGCTTTGGGAAATGAAGAAGATAAACAATAATGATAATAATGATAAACAGTAAGGGTTCTGGCTTGGACGCTTGGGTAGATCCTTTCAGAGAGCTGGAGACTTAAGGTGATGCTGTAGGTTGTTGGTTATGCAGATTTGGGGTTCCCTAGAGACATCTGGCTTGGAGGCACTGATTTGGGACTTATTAGTGTATATGCAGCTGACAGCTGAAGATGTATATGTAGAGTGAGCTTTGGAAGAGTGGAAAACGAGGGCAGATGAGATGTCGGCTACAGTGACTGAAAAGGAGCAATGAGAAGTTGAAGGACAAACAGGAAAAGTGTATTGGTAAAGCTTAGGGAAGAAATTGAACAAAAAGGGAGTAGTCAGCAGCTGTATTGGTTGCAATTCAGGGAAATAGCTGTATAGGCTGAGGAACTACTGAATTTAAGTAGGATCCATTTGATTATTTTGGTGAGAGCAAGTTCAATGGAAAAAAAAAACAAACAGATTAGGAAACCAGATTATTTTAGTTTCATACATTTCAGGAAAAGTACTGCACACTTACTGTGCTAGGTTCTAGTTCAAGTATGCTGATCCCTGTCCTCAAGGTAGCCAACTCTCTTGGCAGGTTAAAAATGAATTTTAAGTAATTACGTGCTATGCATTAGAAAGCTAGACAATAACTAGGGATGATAGAAGGGGAATTGATGCCTTTGAGCTGTGGTGCTGGAGAAGGGTGTTGAATATACCATGTACTACTAGGAGAACAAACAAGTTTGTACTGGAGAGGGTGAAGCCAGGCTGCTCCTTGGAGGCAAGGATTCTGAAGTTTCATCTGATATATTTTGGGCATGTTGTAAGGAGGGACCAGTCCTTGGAGAGACATGCTTGGAAGGTGGAGAGACAGTGCAAGAGGAAGATCCTCAATGAGAAGAACTGATTCAGTGACTGGGGTATTGGGGGGTAGGTGTGTCAGAGACAAAAAAAGCTTGGCACTAGATAGAGCAGGGCTCAGAGCTGTTGTACATAAGGTCACTATGAGTTGCAAGCAACTCAGTGGCACATAAGTAATAGAAAAAGTGAACGTAAACAAGTTCTTTAACACTAGCAGAGACGGGGCAAGAAAAACAATGGTAATGGTGATTCAGAGTGGGGATTATAAATTTTTTTTTTAAGGCTGGAAGAAAGTTTAATTTTGAGAGATAAAGATCATTTGTCATCATAGTCTAAGCTTTACTAATCCCCACTGGCTCTGGCAGCTTAGTGGTAAAGAGCTACATTGCCAATCCAAAGGCTCATAGTTCAAATTCACCAGCTAACTGCTCCATAGGAGAAAGATGGCTGGTATTCCCCTGTACTATTTATTGCCTCTGAAAACCCACTGGAGGGTCCATCAGCTGTGAGTCATTTCTGACTCCAAGGCACTTAAACATCTTCAGACTCTACTGTTTCTTCGTCTTCATTTACAAAGTTCTATTTTTCTTATTTCTTAAAAGGTACTTGATAAAAGTATCTTTTACAGCGAGCACTGTTACATTATATTGGTAAAAAGGCTTGGATGAAGAAGTTCTGGTGGAAGAGTCTGTAAGTGGCACCTCTGGTGGTTCGAACTACCAGTGGCTCAGTGGGACAAAGATGGGCATTCTCCTCCTGTGAGACAGCATCAGAAAACCTACTGGAGAGTCTGCTGTGAATCAATTCTGATATGGCAGCCGTGAGTTTGTTAAGAATTTTGCCGCTAAAGGATGGAAGAACAGACAGCATTAGGGAAACCAGAATGCTTTGGTGTTGATTTAATGGGACAAAATCGGTAATATGCTGGATATGGTAGGGCTACATTGTTGTTATAGGGTTATAAAATAAATTAGGACTAATAGCATCCCTGTGAACAGCAGGTCTGAATCCTGGCCTATCCTGCACCTTCCTTATCATCCGGACACTTTAGCCCATTGCTGCAGACACTGTATCAGTTTATTTCATTGAGTGGCATCTTCTCTTTCACTAACCCTCCACCTCTCCAATATTGTTGTTGATTGCCTTCGAGTTGTGCACGACTCATAAGTGATCCTATAAATAAAAGGCCTGAAGCCCCTCTACAACTATCCACATTTATCAAAGTTTATACTTTCTGGAGGCATGTTATTTAGGAAGTGGATATAGACTCTCTTAAGAACTTGCCCAGAGTATGTGAGATGAGGAAGCAATTCCCTGTGGACATCTCACACATAGGAAATGACAGCAAGAGTGGGCAGAATTTTTGTGCCCACATTTTTGCCCTCAGGCAGGCCTGCCCTGGACACCAGGGAATGCTTGCTGGAGGCTGTTAAGTCAAGGCACAAAGACCTGGGAAGCAAGTCTAACTGATAAGCATGGGGTAAGGACTGCTTGGGGGTGGGTGAGAAGGGGGGTGATACGCATTTCCCAGGAAAGCTTTTGGTTATCTGTTAGCAGATGTGGGAAAGCTGTCGAGGGAGATTACTAAATAGGCCATACTCACCAACCCATCAGCTTCAGGGTTGTCTGACTTTAGGAGGCTGTGTGGCCAGGCTCCGCCTAGAGCCTCTCAACGGGAAGTGACCACAACAGTAAGGCATCTGAAGGCTGCCGGCAGAGACCAGGGCCCGCCCCTTGCTCCGCCCCTTGGATCTGGATCCTGGGACTGGAGGGAATTTCCTTTTATGGCCCCAGGCTGTCAGGCAGACCTAACTCCCACCCAATTACTTTTTTTTTTTTTTGTATACTTTTATTTATAAAATGCATGCCCTTGATGAAAGAAAAAGTTTCCCTTCCAAGTAGTTCTTGTTTCCTACATCCTGGGTTGATGACTGGGAAAATCCCAACATTATGTGGTAGTTTGTTAATCAGCCTCATCAGTAAGGTTTTATCAAAAGCATTTCTCCTTTTAATGGTAAACCCTTCTAAAACATCTTTTTTATTCCGTTACCTTTTTAAATTTTTAGTTTCAGTACCAAAAACAATCAGTAAGTTTAGCTCCTCCTACAAATTGTGGTCTTCCTTCTCCAAGACACCCAGACCCCCTGCTTATACTGACCACCTGATGATACTCATTTATTCCCTCAAGAAGCTTACTGTTCGACAGACAAGGCAGGCAAGCAGCAGATTTTTACATTTCAGTAGAAAAGTGCAAAAGTGATGCAGGGGAAACCAGAAATACTACCACTTAATTAGACAAGAGTATATTGGACAAGAAAGGATGGGGTTAAACTAATGAATCACATTATATATATGTGAGTTTAAGGTATCGCTTGATTAGGTCTGAAGCTTAGGGCAAAATCTGAAGTGAACACTTAGGAATTGTTAGCATAAATGAGAATTGAACTCCAGGGAAGGTCAGGTCTTCCATAGAGCATATGAAGAATGACAGTGTTTTTCTTGTATGAAGTCTCTGCTCCATCCTACTTCCAGATCACTAACCAGTCAGTGCTCTTTCCTCAAAGGGATGATCATGGCTTTTCCCCTTTGCACTGGGCTTGCCGAGAGGGCCGCTCTGCTGTGGTTGAGATGCTGATCATGCGGGGAGCACGGATCAACGTAATGAATCGAGGGGATGACACTCCCTTGCATCTGGCAGCCAGTCATGGACACCGTGATATTGTACAGAAGGTGTGTAAGTACCCCTCTACCACCCAAGTTCCTTACACACCTTGAAGTCAGTCACCAGCATTATTACATCAAATAAAAAGTAAATGTGCTTTTCTTTCATCCTCCTCTCCTTCCCCAACACCTCTCATTTGGAACTGACTGCACCTTCTACTTCTTCTGTCTGGCCATGGGGCCCAGCTATTGCAGTACAAGGCTGACATCAATGCGGTGAATGAGCATGGGAATGTACCCCTGCACTATGCCTGCTTTTGGGGCCAAGACCAGGTGGCAGAGGTGAGGCTTTAGATCCCAAGTCCTAGGACAAGTGGAAAGCAAACTGAGTGGGAGATTCTGGAATACACAATCCATCCTTAGTGAGTTACTGCCAAGGAAGTAGCAGGGCCCTCATCACAACCACATTCTCATTCCAGGACCTGGTAGCTAACGGCGCGCTTGTCAGCATCTGTAACAAGTATGGAGAGATGCCTGTGGACAAAGCTAAGGCACCCCTGAGAGAGCTTCTCCGAGGTCCATTCCCTCTTCCACCCACTATGTCCTGCCCTGACCCTACCAGGTAGATTCGTTCTCCTATTACCACATCTTAGGCTAAAACTGTTTGCCTTTCCTCCTCAGAGCGGGCTGAGAAGATGGGTCAGAATCTCAACCGAATTCCATATAAGGACACATTCTGGAAGGGGACCACTCGCACTCGGCCCCGTAAGTCACTACTGTGGAGGGTGGGGGTGGTAACAAGGAAAAATTCTGGACTTCTAGAGCTGGGTTGAGGGGAAACCTGGGAAACCTGACCTGCCCACACTCTTAGGAAATGGGACCCTGAATAAACACTCCGGCATTGACTTCAAACAGCTCAACTTCTTGGCAAAGCTCAATGAGAATCACTCTGGAGAGGTGAACGTTGTCCTTCATGTTCTCCCCAAACCCTCTCAAATTACCTATGCACCTGCTTTAAGCTTTCCTTCTCCAGTATGTGGATAAGGAAAACAGTGGCCCTTGTTAAAACTTCTCACCTGTCCGTCTTTCAGCTATGGAAGGGTCGCTGGCAGGGCAATGACATTGTTGTGAAGATGCTAAAAGTTCGAGATTGGAGTACAAGAAAGAGCAGGGACTTCAATGAAGAATGTCCTCGGCTCAGGTGGGGCAAGGCCTAATCTGAAGTTGCTGGTTTCAACTATGGATAGCACTGAAAGGGAAATCTTTTTGGCTGGGTCTCAGCTAGGAACTCTCTCTCCTCCCAGGATCTTCTCACATCCAAATGTGCTCCCAGTGCTGGGAGCCTGTCAGTCTCCTCCTGCTCCTAATCCTACCCTTATCACACACTGGATGCCATATGGTTCTCTCTACAATGTACTACATGAAGGCACCAGTGAGTAGAGATAAGATGCCCTTGGGTCGGTGGGGTGGGGTAGAATATACACCTATTTAATGACTTTCTTTTGTAGACTTTGTTGTGGACCAGAGCCAGGCTGTGAAGTTTGCATTGGACATGGCAAGAGGCATGGCCTTCCTACACACATTAGAACCCCTCATCCCACGACATGCACTCAATAGCCGTAGTGTAATGGTGAGGTCTCAAATCCTTTCCTGCATCAGCATCCAGAAATCCTTCAGCTATCTTGAATAGGATTCACCTCTTTCCATGTATCTTCTCTTCCTCAGATTGATGAGGACATGACTGCCCGAATAAGCATGGCTGATGTCAAATTCTCCTTCCAGTGCCCTGGGCGCATGTATGCACCTGCCTGGGTGGCCCCTGAAGGTGGGTGAGGGTTTGAGAGGTAGAGAAAGAGCCATCTCGGCGGTGGAAGGGGGCAGACAAGACAGGACAAAGCTGAATAGGTAAGTCCTGTCTCTCCAGCTCTTCAAAAGAAGCCTGAAGACACAAACAGACGCTCAGCAGACATGTGGAGTTTTGCAGTGCTTCTGTGGGAACTGGTGACACGAGAGGTACCCTTTGCCGACCTCTCCAACATGGAGATTGGCATGAAGGTGGGTACAGAGCTGTGTACACTTACACAGGGGGAGGTAGCAGGAACTCTAGTTGGCTGGGGCTCTTCCCATGTTTTTTATATAGTAATCCTGTGCCAAGGCTAGAAGTCTCCTGACAGGCCCAAAACTTTAATGCCCACTTTTTTTTCTGTATTTGCAGGTGGCACTAGAAGGCCTTCGGCCTACCATCCCACCAGGCATTTCCCCCCATGTGTGTAAGCTTATGAAGATATGCATGAATGAAGACCCTGCCAAAAGGCCCAAATTTGACATGATTGTGCCTATCCTGGAGAAGATGCAAGACAAGTAGGGCAGGAAAGTCCTTGCCTAAACTCCAGAGGTCTCAGGACACCGTGCACATTCCCAAAGCAGCAGGCCTCTGGTTGCCTCCCCTGCCTCTAGTCACGGTACTGCCCCAGCCAGAGGACCCATCCCTTACCCCCAGCCCTACCACTGTGGCCCCAAAAGGGGCTGGACTCAAAGCTTTGCGACTTGTCACACGGTGTCTCCCAGCATGGGAGGGATCAGCCCCGCCTGGAGGGATCAGCCCCGCCTGTCACAATAAAGTTTATTATGAAAACAGGCTGCATGGGGACAAATACATTTAAGTTGGGTGGCTCAGGTGAAATAATGCGGCTTCTTGACATTGATGCCATACTCGCTGAGAGCAGGAGTCAAATCCTCCATGGTTAGAGTGTACTTGCGGTCCTGAGGGAAGAGGGAAGAGTACTGGCTGAGCACAAGAATCTCAAATCTCAATCCCAGATTGGTAACCCTGAGTAGGTCGAAAACCTCCCCTAGGGCTTAGTTTTCCCAGAGTGGTTGCAGGGTAAGTCTCCATTGCTGTGGGGATAATGACTGATTTAGTGAACTTCCCCTCACACCTTGCTCTTGCTTCTGGAGCTGCCAGAGGCTGTACCCTTCATTTTGCAGTGCTGTAGGGCATCGTTGGCAATATCTGAGATGAATTTCTGAGCAGCTAGGGAGATGAGCCGAATTCTAGAGAGAGAAAAACTTCTGTTGAGAAAGATGGCCAACAGCCTGTGCACAAGCACCAAAAGTAACCTGCTGAGTGTACTCACATGCGTGGATCCGAGGCCTCAAAGCCAGCACGGTTTAGGTAGTAACCAGTCACTGCATCTGGGATCTGATAAATCAATTAGACAGCTGTCAGTCTGAGTCCTGTTGAACTTGGAGAAAAGGGAAAGATAAAAGGGCTGGCCTGGCTGTCAGGATGCTCACGGTTCGGTTAAGCAGAAGGGATAAATCACAAGAACTAAGTAAAAGAGGAATAAAAAACAGGAGGCGGCTGGGAAAGCCAGGTATGGATAAAGGGGGCGTGACGGGGCCTTGTTCGGGCGGGAAGCCCACCGTGGGTGTGTAATCTTCCAGCTGCATCAGGAAGTCCACCAGCGGCGTGCTGGACACCACCGGCTTCACGTCCCCGTTGGCTGCGCTCGGCAGTACATAAACCCC